ATGAGTTTTATGTTCAATTCAAATGAGTATAACGTCCAAAATGAATGAGCACACAAAAATGCGTTTTTAAATTTTTTATACTCATTTTGTAAGTTACGTTTGCTCATTTAGTACTGTTTTATACTCACTTTAAAAGGTTGCACACTTCAAACATATCATACCACATTAGAAATGAGTTTTCTTTTCATTTAACAGAAACCATTATTTCCATCTCAATAGAGGAGGTTTGATGCTCAATGAAAATATCGTGATTTTTAACTAACAAATCAACTAAGAAATTCATTAGTGCTCATTTTGTTAGTTACGTATGTTCATCTGATACCGATCTTATGCTCATATATTAGACTCCTAATACTCAACGTAATAGACCGGGTGTTCATTAAAAGTTCATTAATGCTCATTCACTAGAAACCGTGGTTTTCATCTCAATAGCAGATGTTTGATGCTCAATTAAAATGACGTGATGTTCAACTAACAAAACCTTACGATTTTCATATCAATGTACACTTTGTAGTTATGTATGCTCATTTGGTACTGATGTAAAGCTCATTTTTACAATGTCATATCAATGCATATTTCAAAAGTATCATATTATATTAGACTCGCATATTGAAATTAATAAGAGTGAATTATAGATATAATTTAATAAGTTTTTATAAAAGAAAAATAAGGAAAGGAAAGAGAATGAGAACATATGAAGCAAATATCGTGAAACTCATTGTTAGTCTTCTAATACTCAATAAAATAGGCTAGATGCTCATTAAAATTACACAATTACTCATTTAGTAGAAGCCGCGATTTTTGCTTAAATTACAAAATTGCCACCGAAAAAAATTGGTCAGTATTGATTGTTGGGCTGTCTTTCTTAGTTGGCCCGGGTGTACGTACACCAGGTTGTATGATATAGGCTCTCCAATACAACCCCCGTTATTAAACTCAGTTTCTATAAATTGGCATAAAGCCGACACAAGAATAGGTTGCTTCTTGCCAATTCTTTCTTCTTTCTTCTTCCTAAAGCTTTCTTCACCACTTTAAACAACAGGTTCCTGGGTTTATCATCCGTTATGGCGAAGTTGATGATCAGAGTTCGGAGCAGAGATGGGTTGGAGCGGGTCACAATCGACAACCCACACGCCACCATCGCTCACCTCAAATCCGAAATCGAGACTCAGCTCCGAGTGCCAATCCAATCTCAAACGCTTTCCACAAATCAAAAACTCTTGCTCGCCAAAACCCTAGACGACTTGGCCCAATTCACGGACTTGTCCAACCCTCTCGCTCCGATTTCTTCCGTCAACATCGGCCATGGCTCTATCATATACCTGTCCTACGAGGGCGAGCGGACCGTCGCCGGCCCGGCCTTCAACCCAGCAGGGTCGTTCGGGAAGAAGATGACCATGGATGACCTCATCGCCAAGCAAATGCGCGTTTCCAGGCAGGAGGAACCTCACTGCGAGCTTGTCTCATTCGATCGAGACGCCGCCAATGCCTTCCAACATTACGTCAATGAGACGCTTGCTTTTGCCGTGAAGCGCGGAGGGTTTATGTACGGGACCGTCTCTCCCGAAGGGAAAGTGGAGGTAAATTTCATATATGAGCCGCCTCAGCAGGGGACTGAGGATAGGTTGTTGCTTCTGCGCGATCCGTTAGAGGAGAAGCTCGTTGATGCGATTGCCAAGGGGTTGGGTATGAGTAGGGTAGGATTTATCTTCACACAGACTGTTACTCAAGACAAAAAGGATTATACTATGTCAAATGCAGAAATTCTGCAAGCTGCTGAGCTGCACGGGGAGAGTGACGTGAAGGAGTGGGTGACAGCAATGGTTAAATTGGAGGTTAGTGAGGATGGAGGTGCAGATGTGCATTTCGAGGCATTCCAGATAAGTGACGTGTGCATTAGATTATTCAAAGAAGGATGGTTTGAAACAGAAGGCATTGAAGATTTAGATCCCAAGCTTTCGAGGATGAAGAAAAATGTAGTTGTTGGTGTGAAGGACACAAAAGAGGTAGACAATGATTTTTTCTTGGTCGTAGTCAAGATTGCTGATCACCAGGTGCGTTTGAGTTTTCCCCTTTGCTTTCTGTTATTCATTTTGGTTCTTTCCTTCTATAGTTCATGCCTTGGACTATTTTATCTGACAGGCATCACCATTCAGCTTTGCATTTAAGTTTATTTTTAGTAGATTACACTACACGATCAAAGAGAAGATAAATATGATTTAGGGGAGCTAAATTAGATGCTTAAAATATTTACTAATAACTGCCTTCACAAATATAGTGATAAATGTGTGTGCTAGGAAGGTGAGAAATAGGTCACATGCGTAGTTCTTTTTATTAATACCAAACTAGTGATTTTTTTCCAACCATGATGAATAGTCAATTAGTCTTAACCTATATTCGGCCATCAACTACTTTGCTTTCCTGTTCCCTTCAATTTTTATAGTTCCTCGCACTATATTACATTGTTACCATCTGTGTGTTTGAGGGCCTAAACATCCAGTTGCTTTTCAATTTTGGTCGGTGATATGTTGTGGTTTAGTGCCGTTGGTGTTTCATACTTCGTTTTAAAAGGCATGAGGTGCAAATAGGACGCATGGACCTTATGGAACCCAAGTGTAAATCTTTGCTAAGGGGCATTGTTAATATTGATATGTTATACCCAAACAAAATGTAAAAATGCCATTAGATAAAAACTATATAAAGGCAGAATAGTAAAAGAAACTGTTGAAGCAGTAAAACTACAAAAAGGCCCAAGCATTGGAATTATATGCAAGAGTAAAAATTATAATTATATTTTCCATTATTTCCAATGGAGCCAAAGACTCACGATTTTGGCTTGGGAATATGATGGAATAAAGCAAAATGTCTCACTAAACTGTCTTTGTTATGAAGACTGCTGGGCCCAACGTTTCAGATGCACAACTTCCTTCCCAACTCTGCTCTCTGTGCCTAGGCGTGACTCAGGCGCACCTTTTTAACCTAAGTTCCACACCATACACATGTACCATGTAAAACATATGTACTAGGTTCTTTAAATTTATTGCTAAACTGTCATTGCTTTGGCGACTGTGGCTGGTAATATCTAGTTTGATTTTAATTAATGCTTGGGATATTACCCGAAATAGGACTAAAAAGGTTTCAAAATTCCAAAATAGGACTGACATGTCTTTATTCCCAAAATAGGACTAATTACTGTCATGTTTTGCCAGTACCAGACTTCAAACATGGCAGTATTTTCCAAACTTGGCAGTAATTAATCCTATTTTGGGAATAAAAAACATGACAGTCCTATTTTGGAATTTTCAAACTGTTTTAGTCCTATTTCGGGAACTTTCCCTTAATGCTTACATCATGTCTCTTGTTCGGGCAAAATGCAGAAATCATGTCTATTTCTGAGGTTTCATTATAATTCCATCAGTGTGCTGTTCTACTAGGTTATTTTTATATATGAGAAGGGCACATTTGTCACATGATCTTAGTGTTTAAAATTGAACTATTTAGACCTCCCTTGGCATTTCATTTTTATTTGAAGCTGTGTGCAAAATGTAAATTGTTCCAACATTACAAGAGAAGTGGAAACGCACTAGAACATTAGTACATATCTTCATTGAAATAAATTGCAGTGAACTGATAACTTAATAATTAAACTGGCCACTTTAAATAGTGGCAAATATCTCTAACACAATAGTGATTGCTCAAAGGTCACCTGTCATTCTTATTATCCAAAGATTTTTTGAGTATAATTCTCCTCTTATTGACATTTAGTTGTACTGTTGTTCTTATAGGGTTTTAACAGAACCTAAGAGTAAAAAATGTAGTGGTAGTGGTTAATGTGAAAAAGTGAAATATATAGCGCGAGAGCAGATGAAAAAGTAAAAAAAGGAAATGAAAGGGTAATGATATTTATGTCTTGATAAGTACGGAGTAATTGTCAAAAATGGAAAATGGGGTGATAATAAATTTCATAAAAGCAAAGTGAATCGACTAAAGGTGAACCGGGGGGGCATTGCATCTAATGTGAACGAGAGCAGATTATAGTATCACTTTAATCGCTGCCTTCGTATGTTGTTGCTGCTTAATAAAAATCCTATTTCCTCAATGTTTCATGGGCCATTGCATCTAATGTGAACTTTTACTATTTGCAGGGCCAACTTTCATCCATATTTCCTATTGAGAACCGGAATATTCCAGTGACAATGAAGGCGCTGCAACCCCATTTTGATCGAACAAAGAATCTCCCATTTGTGAAGCAAATTTCAGATTTTCATCTGCTGCTCTTATTGGGGCAGTTTTTTGACATCGATGCTGATGTTCCTGCATTAACTGGATATGTGCGAGAACAATCACCGGTCTCTGAGGGTTATAAGCTCCTTATAGAGTCCATGGCTAGGACCTCTTATTAAACCACTCAATCAGCAAATGTGATGGTGATGGTGATGATGACACAATCGGTTGTGCTGCAAATATCGACTCTCACCCAAGCTATCCGAAACCCCATTTACTCTGGAATCGGCATGTTCGCTCGGTAGCGGTGTATGCCTTAGCACATTTTATGCTGCTGTAACTTAAACACGCCAATGCTTTTTTTTTTACTGGGATGTCTTCTTAATTTAACATTTATTTTGTATTATTAGGGTTCGCCTTTGTTTTCTTTTGCTGGATCGAATCCAAATATATTCAATTTGATGCACTTGCAAATAGGGATGGACTCGGGCCGGGCCAACCGGCCCGGAACCGGACCGGCCCGCTACTGTGCGGGCCCGGACCGGCCCGGTCAACCGGTTCGGTTCCGGTTCGGGCCTCCAGGCCCGGTGGTATAACGGTCCGGGCCCGGGCCTCCAGTTTAGTGAACCGGCCCGGCCGGGCCGGGCCCGGTTCGGGCCGGAATTTAATTTTTTTTTTTTTTTTTTTGAAATTTTTTTAAGTTTTGGGTTGGATTAGGTATTTTGGGCCATTTGAGGTGGTTTGGGGTGGTTTGGGGTGGAGGGGGAGGGGTAGGGGGTTAATTAAGAGAAGAAGAAGAAAAAAAAAAAAAACATTCCGGGTGGCCCGGCCCGGCCCGGCCCGGTTCTGGCCCGGAACCGGAACCGGAACCGCCCACCACCGGTTCGGGCCCGGGCCTCCTTTTTCTGAACCGAGGCCCGGCCGGGCCCAGGCCCGAACCGGGCCCGAACCGGAACCGGTCCACCCCTACTTGCAAATAGAATGAAATTAAACATAACAATGTCAAGTTTTAGTTACATTTGGTTACAGTTTAAACCAAAACAATTGCATTTACTATGAACCTATGATGTATGAGCAAAACTGCAAAACCAATACTTTGTCATTTTTAATCTCAACGGGAAGTACACTAACTGGAGTACCTAAAATGTGCTAGTGTGGCGCTTTCTTCTCTGCGAAGATATTTCAAAGATGTCACTCTAGATGCTGCGCTCGTAGAATGACTAGAATTTGTTGAGGATAACTCTTCCTCTTCACTTTAGGGTCTAGGGTTGTTACTTTCTTATGATGAACTTATTCACCTTGCATATTTTTTTTTTGTGGGAAATATAAATTTATTAAAAAGGGAGAAAGTGAAGTACACAAGAAGAAACAAAAGAAGATTAAAGTATCAAAAAGCAAATTCGTTAAAAGGGCTGAGATCGGTGGAGGAGGGCGGATTTGTTGTCATGGCTCGAGGAGATCAGCGTTGTGGTCATGGTTCGAGGATGCGGCGTGGCTGTTGTCATTGGAGAAGATCGGCGCCGCCTATCCGTTTACTCTGGTCACACGGAGCAGGGATGAGTTTGGCAATGCATGGACGGATTGATGCATGGTCTTTGGCAGCCAAAGGTCATGGAGGATCAATTAGCATGGTACCGGTGGTACGACCTCCTCTTGAACCACCACCATGGGATGTACGAGATGCTAGAGTTTGTGAAAGTTTTTCTTGTAGTTTTTATCTGTTTGTTATTTGTTTTCTTGTGTCCACTTTTGTTGTTGGTTTTGACAGTTTGTTTGAGTTTTTTGCTTCTCTTTATGTCATTGGGTATGGTTGGATCTATGAGAACATGTTTGGCTGTGTCAAGCCCACTACATGGTTAGCGATTCGTGTTGCTCTCTTAGGGGTGACCGTTTCAAAGTCTCACCATAGGGTTACAGTCGTAGTTGTTGCAGTTTCAGTTGGTGTCCGTTTTATTTTCTTTTTCTTTTGATATGAATAGATGTCTGTCTTGATGATAAAAAAATAGAAACAAAAACAAAAAACTAACGAAACGGAAATTAAAGAAAAACAAAAAGAGTAAAGGGTCAGTTTGGTCCTCGAAGTTGCAAAAAAGATGTCAAATAAGTCCTTATATAGAAGATTCTGTTCGGACGTGCCATTTGAGGTGGCTCCCGGTTGAATTTTGTGATAACTTTTTTTGAGCATCTTATTCATTAAGTCTAGTTTACTCATACCAAATTTCAGCTAAAAATTCAATCGGGAAGGCATTCAAATGAATTCTTGAAGATAACAGCGCTTTTAACGGCACAGTTATCTTCAAGAATTCATTTGAATGTCTTCCCGATTGAATTTTTATCTGAAATTTGGTATGAGTAAACTAGACTTAATGAATAAGATGCTCAAAAAATTTCATCAAAAAATTCCACCGGGAGCCACCTTAAATGGCACGTCCGGACAGAATCTTCTATATAAGGACTTATTTGACCCCTTTTTTGCAACTTCGAGGACCAAACTGACCCTTATCCCAAAACAAAAAACTTATTCACCTTGTAATACCTTCACAACTGGTCATGCATCATCCATGACATATTCACCTTCACAATTGTGTTTATGTTTCACTGCTTCAAAAATATTAGCTCAGTGACGTGAAGCCAAATAAACATTGCTTAGTAACCTCTAGAGTAAACATTCCTCCAATTTTCAACATTTCAATAATTCACTCTCCATATGGGATGCTCGATCTTCGATGACAAACTTTTTGTTCCGTGTTTCTAGTGACGCTAAACTTTTAGGTTGAAGTTTGCTCTCGTGATATAAAATGACATTGTTTTTGTCATTTTAGTCCTCCCTATTATGTCACTCACACTTTTGATACTCGATTTTGAGTTTTTTCATTTTAAGTCCTTCGACTATTGTGTGACAGACACTTTTGGTACTTGTCTTTGAAAATTTCCACATTTAGTCTTTCGGCTTTCATAAAAGTGACACTTTTGGTCCTTCAACTATTATAATTGTGACATTTTTAGTCCTCTACTTATTGTGTCAAATTCACAATGGAGGGACTAAAAGTGTCAATTTTATAATACTTGGAGGACTAAATGTGGAAAACATTGAAGTTGAGGACTACAAATGTCATTCACACAATATTGGAGGATTAAAAATGGAAAAATTGAAAGTCGAGTACCAAAAGTGTCATTGACCCAATAGTTGAGGGACAGAAAATGGAAAAAACTCTAAAATGAAATTTAATCTTGTGGCTACGAAATTTGCACTTAATATTGGATGTTGTTTGAAATGGCATATTGACAATTTTCACTTTGTGTTTTCCTCCATTTCTTCATCAACACAGGTGGATGTTAGATACTAATACTTTCGTGCTACCTTTGCCTGTCAGCCTCACTAAAGTAAGAACTGAAACTAGAATGCATGATAAAACATTTTGATTCATATATATTTCCAGAATTTTAATTTAAAGTTTAATGCTCAAGATTAACCCAAGGTTTAGTTCATTGGTCTCTTGCAATACTGGTCTTTAATTTGTCCACTCAAATTCGAGTTCAAGTCAAAGTTTCAAGTTCGAAATTGTTTCAAATTTAAAGGTGAAATGAACTTCATGTAAGATTGTAAGTGAAACTCTTGTGTTCGTTTTTGGAGCTTCATGTTTTATGTCAAAATAGATAATTCTGTAACAATTTTTATTAACAATGTTATATTGTGGTTTCTACCCCCATTATGTGTTGTTCTTCACGATCACGCCATAAGTTTGGGAGTATAGCACTATCTCAAAGATAAGCTAAATTAGCCTTCCTCAAAAGACAACAATGTTCATAATTCATAACAAAAAGACTAAAAAGGACCTTTAAAAGGCATCCCGAGAATGAAAGACGTGTTTGGTTTTAAAAGGCCGATCACAAGATACTTACCCTAGATGTGAGTAGATTTTTATAGTAAGTTTCACCGGACTATTCAAAACATGTTGCCGTGTTGGTAATGGGACAACTGGACTTTAGAGAAGACATCCCAATTGAAAGTCTTCGTGCACTATAAGGTGTCTATCTATATTGTTTGAGCAACCCAAATCCACCTAATATAATACAATAACATATAAAATACATTAGAAAACTTAGTCATCTGATATGGGATGCTTTTGCTAAATATAACGGGTGTATATGCTGCAATGTGTAAAACCAGTCAACAACTGTTCGTATCAAATTCTACAATTTATGTAATAAGCTGTAATCAAATAGTCCACCAAATGGTTAAATTGTGGACCATTTATCAACTGTTTGTGTGATGCTCGACCACTTGGAAAATCAATGGAGCAATTTTATTGATCTCTACAAAACAATCATCTATTAAAATGTTCACACTATCTACTGTTTAAACATGTAGGATATATATTTTTTGATGATATATTTTAGTAGTTGTTTGTGTTAAGAAGGATTTGTACTTTTAGTCCCATAACTTTTGGTTGTGCCCGTTATTAGTTCTATAACATTATTCATTTGCAATTTGGTACTTTATTTAAAAAATTATGTCCATTTTAAAGACTTTTTCGATGAAGAGTACAATTTCTGACAAGAAACCAACCAGAAAAGACGTTGATGTCAAGATGTCGGCAACATGACTTGGAAGTGAATAAAATTACAAGACTAAAAATCGACACAAATGATAGTTAAAGGGCTAAATCTACAATTTTCTCTCTTTTAAACACTTTGAGATCAAAGACACTTCCGCAATATGATTCGGAATTTATTGAGAAATTGGACAACTAGTTGGACAATGTTAAAGTTTCAATGGTAAGCGGTCTTAAATTTTAGGTTCTTGGTCAAACTTTGACATATATGTGATCTAAAGCAAGGCATGGACTGTGAAAATTAACTACTCATATAGAACTTCATGAAATACTCTCTGCATTCCAAATTGATGGTACCTTATTTCCTTTCTCGGATGTCCCCAATTGATAGTATCATTTCCTTATTTTAGAAATATTAAATTATGAAATGGATAATATACCCTTCATTTAGTACCCTATTCCCCTATTCACCTTTATGATTATTTACCTCTTGATTAATTCTTGGTGTCTCCTCATTTCCCTTGTCTATTGACTATTCTAGACTCTCATCTCCTCGGTCTCTCACTTGTTTGTAGCCTCCGACTCTCAATTGTCCGTAGCCCTCATCATCTCTCACATTTTTGTTGTCCCGTCTCTCTATTCTCTGCGTGTTCTATCCCCGACGATGACGATACATATATCGCTGTTATTGTTTACTTTTGTTCTATTAAGTCATATTTGGGTTAAGACGTCTGTCTGGATTAAGTGATATTTGTATATGAGGCTGTTTATTTTCTTTGCTAAATAAACAGTTTGAATCGAGTAAAATAATCAATTTAATATCATTTTGTTGATTATAGTGGCAATATAAACATTTGTTTGTTAATACAAATACATCCACAATCAATTTGGAAAAATTGACATAAAAAATGTCTTAATAGACGTCTCAATTGGAAAGACTGTTGTTCTCCAGCTTAATGATTAAGTCAAGTTTCCAATTCGGTCATAAGTAAACATGACTCAATGACTACTAACTGATTAAGCCATCACTGTCATCAAGTCCATCAAGTCAAAAGTGAACAACCCCTAGGATAGTTGGATATATCATGTGAAACCACCATCACATTTCTAGAGTCGCACTGATCAATATCAAGATTCCACCCCTCGGTGCCATGCTATATCAGGAATGTAATATTCAAGGGTATGATCTGATTCTGACAATGAGAAGATTGTTGATTGTGGGCCTGAAATAAATCCCAATTTCGTAGGGAGATGGCAGAAGTACACAACAGTGGAGAACTGGAGATGACCATGGAGACAAAGGAATAAAAGGATTACAAAGTAGATCTTGATATATGTGTGAAAGACGCACATGTCAGAAATCCGGACCTAGAAGATCAGGAGGAGGCGAATTCTCCTCTGGCATGTGTGTGGTATCCGGCTGGATACAAAGAATCAAAGACCTACCATGTTTCGATTAATTCTTCCGAATCTATTTGAGGCTCCTCCCATCTCATACAAACAATTGTGATGTGCTTGGTTTACCTCCTCCACTATATGTGTACCTAACTATCACTCTCTCCATGTGTGGTGCTTGTTAGTGTGATTTGCTTGTTTCATGATCTCATTTGCACAACTTTGGGCTTCACAAATGATTCTAGTTGTGGTGTTAACTGTGTGTGGAAATGCTTATGTGGTTATGTACATGTAGGAGGTGAAATTATGTGTTAATTTTCACCCATGTTATAAATTAGTCCATGCTTAATTATGAAGCCTTGTTCGGATTGTGATGTCACGTGCTTGTGATAACTCTATGAGACTTGTTTGAATGTTGATATTCGTGTAATTTCCGATTGTATGTTTGTATTTTTAACTAGTTTTTATTAGTTTTAGTTGTGGAAATTACACACTTTTGGTGTAATACTTTATTTTCACAATTATTTGTAAATTGTTTAGATTAGGACTTTTCTGAGCTAAATAGGTCAAAAAGCATCCAAGGGAGCAAGATTGGACATTAAAAGATCAAGGAAAGTGCAAGGAGACAAGAAAGATTTCGATTTGGAAAAAATACTCATGTACCCGGTCGGGTAATGCCTATATCCGATCGGGTATTTACTTGATTCGATTGTCCAAATCAAATCCGAGAACTAATGATCGTGGGAGAAGATTTTCGTGAAGATTTGTCACATACCCGATTGGGCATGCCGACATACCCGATCGGGTATGCTCACAAAAGTGACTTTCTGAGCAATTTCCTAAGATACCCGGTCAGGTATCCTAT